TGCATGCTCTCACAAAAAGGCTCTTCAGCTGATGGCTGTTACATACGACAGTATATAACCACTGACTGTGTGGTTTTACTCATAGTAGACTTGTACACACGAGTTTATTTGAAAGTCATAGCAGGCTCCCGACTACAGTGTGTAGGAAGAACATGGTCTCATGAGCTGATATCAAGGACGCGGCAGAGAATTTTCCATCAAGAGTCCTTTCAGCGTCCTTGTTGAAAACAGCTAATGAAGTCAAAATAATGGCTTAAACTGTATAGACTCAGAACAAGCAGTGAAGTTCTTAAAAGTTATGGTTTGAGATCATGGTATGACTTCTGAGGAAAAGTTACTTCCCCAAACATATGTTTTAAACTTATTCCTGCTCAGCTCAGAAGCACTTCTTATTTTTTTTTGTCTGACTAAGCAGCAGGTGAGTTATAAAATGACAGATGATCCTTGCACTTAAGAGCATATGCTGCTCCTTAATTGCCGCCTTCCAAAAGTGATACTTGCTAACAAGTGACATATCATTGCAAAAAGCCCCTGTACAGCATTAGTACAATTCTCACGAAAATGCTGAATTCCTAGTTCTCTCTTCCACAGGAGTTTGACAAGAAATACAATCCCACTTGGCACTGCATCGTGGGAAGGAACTTTGGCAGCTACGTGACTCATGAGACCAAGCACTTCATCTACTTCTACCTCGGCCAAGTCGCTATTCTTCTTTTCAAGTCTGGTTAGAACCACAGACTGTTACGGAAACTTGCACCTGGTTACAGGACTGCACACCAACTCCAAACAGCCTCCCACCTTCAGCCTTCCTGAGGAGACAGACCTTGATCTTCAGGTCTTTTGTTGTATTGTTAATGGTCAGGGATTTTGCTGTAGCAGCTGGTATTTTCATTGTGGCTATAAAAAAGGCAAAAATGTCTTCCTTGTATTTATTTTCTTTCAAAAGATGGCTTCTTTGCTAATAAAACTGTCAGAACAAGTTTATCCTTTAAGAGTTTTCTCTACCCTTCTGCCCTCTCAGTGCTTGCATTACCCTCCTTATTCCACTGTGAATGAAGGAGGAACATCCCCACCTCCATTCCCCCCCTCCCCCCACCTCAATCCCACACCATGTGAAGCCTGAGCTAATCTACGAATATGTCATCAGTCAGTAACTGAGAGCAACAGGAGATATTTTCCCTGAGAGAAAAGAGACTGCTTTTCAATTCTTGATAAGCATATTTTCAGTATACACAACCTCCAGTGCAGATTCTGGAGTTTAGATACATGGTGTTGCTTTTCTGATTTCAAGCGAACTGGTGAGCTAAAAGCAATCGTCCTTTCATCTCCCAATTTTCAGAAGAGAGAAATCTTCATACTAGTTCATTACACAGCTGTCACTTAGAATGTAAATTTATACCTTCTCTAGATTTTTTTTTTTTACTCTATCCCTGTATCCTGCTACAGAAGCATCTGTTCTTAAACAGCTTAGTTTAAAGAACAGAAGGAAACGCACAGTATTTTTATGTAGAGACTATGCATCTAGCACTGACAAAGAGAAAGATTTCATATGGAGGTGAAAACATGTCATCTCATCCCAGAATATAGTTATGCCGTCATTCTCCTTCAGAAAAAAAACCCTTTCTTAGAAAGGAAGCCTTCTTAAAAAGGTTAAAATATTGACTGAAGTGAAAAAAGTTGCTGCAGAGCTGTTTTATTTCACAAGCCTTCCATTTGCCTTTGACAGAAGTAAAGGAATCATGGGAAAAATCCCTTAGAATCCACATGACAAAGATAATGACAGCTTAATAAAAATCTAATAAATACAAGTTACTTCTCACCGGTACGATATCCTCCTTGAAGCTTAGTAAAAGAAAAAGGAGGCATCTTATTTGAAGACCAGTCAGTCTATTTCTGTATCCACACCACTGGTAACTGAAGTTGCTTCATTTGTTAGCACTGCTCAGTTTTGGCCATGTCCTTTACATTGCACTTGAAGGGAAATGCGAGTGTAAGAAACACCACAGGAGTCACTTCATCCACAGGTTTCTTGGGGGGGGAAAAGGTAGCTGATGTTCTTCTGGGTCTGACTGCTGAGCAAGTATCTGTTGTGCAAGTTCTTAAAACTCCTCTTCAATCTTGATAGCGTTAAAATTCCACAGCCTTCATACTCCTCAGGAAAATTACACTTCCTGTGTTTTGCTACATAGACTCAGAGTTTGAAACCTGAGTGAATGGCAACAATGCCCAAGTTTAAATTCTGATAATCCACTTTAAGAAACCCTGCATCTTCTATCATTGCCTTCAACTCCTCCTGAAAAATAATAGTTCCATAATTATAACAACCTGAAGGCCTATAAGCCAGCTGCCTGCAAGATTATGCTGGGACTGTGTTTTGTGTGTTAGTGAATTCAGAAAAATACTGTCTTACCTGAGGGGGGAAACGTCGGATGCTCTCCACAAGATACTGGTAAGACTTCCAGTCACCAGCGATAACCTCACCCAGAACAGGGATAACCTGGAAACTGTATAGATCGTAGAGCCTGCACAGACAGACAGCAAATACAGATTAATACAAACAAGTTTAAAGTCAACCATCTCCAACACAAGTTGATCTCTGTACCACTATGCTATGGAGTCTGCATCTGATTTTAAAAGCGCACAATGAGGTGGCCTCAAAGTGTCTCCGTCTCTTATTCTGGCTGAGTACAAATAAGAGAGCCTTGTGACATGGCATAGTGTCACCATGTTTCTACCTGGAAAGAAGAGGGTTGCTGACGTGACTAAATTCAAGGCAGAGAAATCTTCCTCCTGGTTTCAGCACACGATAGGCCTCCTGAAGTGCCTGAGACAAAGCAGATGCGATAAGTTTGTTTCTGTAGAACAGCACCTGCCTATTATCATGCCTTGTGATGGCAACTCAGTGATGAACTGAGGGGAGTAAACAGAATCCTCATTGGCAATCTCCAATATTTACTTGTGGAGAAGCATCCCAAGACAAGTACAAAAAAAAACCCCAAACAACAAACCCAAGCCACAAAAACTCTTGCTGTTACATAAATAGGTTTATACCAGGCTTTGTGTCGAAACTATGATGTCAGGTTTGCAATTTTTCTTCTTTTTCCCTACTCTTAGTTGATGAATATTTGCCAGCAGAGCTCTTGTAATTACAGATCAAACCCAAAAGGGAGAAGGTGACTCAGCTACAAGAAGCTGAAAATGAAAAGAGGGCATGATAGATTTTTTTTTTTAATCAAAAGAAAAGATTTTGCTCAACTGTAAGGCACACCCAAAGGATCAAAGAAGAAATGATACTGGGTTTTGGATGAGCAATGTGTGAGAACAGGGAGGAAGGAGAGGGAAGAAGAAAATCTTTGGCTACTTTGAAAATTCCATCCTATATCCAAAATAAAACACGTAAGAACCACCAAGATAAAATTCTGTTTACAACTGTATGTTCTTTCATACAAGAGCACAGCAGAGTTGTATTCAAGAACCTCTGCAGGTTGTACATCTGCTTGGCTTCAATTGTCATGTTCCTAAGGGATAAAATATAAACAGTACACATACGTGATGGGAGCTCTGCAAAAGAATTGGAGGCTTGGATGTGTTTTGTATCGGGTCTCCAGGGGGGCTATGCTACCAGACTGCTGTATCCATGAAGGCAAAGAGCCTGTGCTTCAGAAGGGTACAGACAAAAAATCGTGAAAAGCCATCCACACTAAGGGAAGTTCAAAGGCATACAGTTCAAGGTGGTTTGGATCCAAACGCTACACCTTCCACAGAAGGAGCATTGCCAAGGTTGTAACACGCTCCTCCAAAACACAGACAACTAGTCCAGCTAGACAGGTGATCTAACCTATCTTTACCCCCAAGACAGCTAGTCATTCTCGAAGGACAGATACTGTTTAGAACAAAGGGTACTACTCACCCTAATTAAAATCATACTAATTCTTCATGGGAAACTCTACTACCAGCCAGTGTAAAGACACTGAGCAGAAGTGGGCTGAACAGGTTAGTTCAACGGCAGTGGTGGCAGCAGCCCAGCTGCTTCCCACTCTCTGCTCTGGAAGCTCTGCTGGCTCAGGCAGGGAAACAGAACGGGTCAGGAAGCGTTGGACCCACTGCGGGTGGGATATAGATCAGGTGCTTCAGGAAGATTTGAGACATGCAGACTGACTGCACTGTGCATGTGTAGATCCAGTCATACCGTAGGTCAGGAGAAGGTGGGGAATGACTGTAGCATTCAGCTCTTTTTGCCTTAGGAAGGGATTGTGTGGCTTGCGAAGGTGGAAGGATTGGGCGCAACTAGTATAAATCTAACTTTTTATGACAAAGGTGGGGCATTTAATTGCCTTCTTCATTAAACAAGTTGCACACTACATGCCACTTATTTTAAATGTTTCAGGAGTAGACAACGATGTTCCTTTATCCAAAGGAGTTCCTCCTTTGCTTCCTCTGCTAGAATAAAAAAACCTCAGACGAACCATAAGGACCCCATGTCAGGATACAGTATAGCAACTTACCAAATCAATACGAGTTACATTTCTGATTCCAAAGGCAATTGTGTAAACATCAAACTTGTCATCATCAAAGGGCAACTCTTCAGCATTCCCCAGTACCCAGGACAAGCCTGTAGTAAAAGCCAAGGACACAGAATTGAACTCAGACTGCTCCAGAAAGACTAGAACTTAACTATTCCAGAAGAAAATGATTATTAAAAAAGTGACTTTTAAAACTAATACTTCAATTTTGCATTTTTGCTGGAGGAAAGACACCTTGTTCTATACTCACAAACCTTTCAAGGCCCTGTACTATACAGCTGTCTTTCAAGCAAAGTAGTTAATTTTGCCAAATTAACATCAGCCAAAACATTCTTCTGCATATACACGCACGTTGTGCTCACAGTGCCTTAGTCTGCCAAGAAGATTTCACCCAAATCTTGCATCGTAGTGAACAACTGGCTTTCCAGAAATTGGCTGCCATTTGTTTGTAGCAAAGTTGCAAAAGGAGAATCTCTGCTCAAAGAGTAACTATAAACAATGATTAATGCTTTGCCATGCAACAATGGCCAAAACACTTAAAACACTTTGCTAGAAAGCTTCCATAGATTGAGGAACATGAAAAGCCACACTCCCTCCATCAGCACTATCAGTATGTGATCCTGTTGCAGCTGTGTTGCTTCCCAAACCCCAATGGATCAAGGCCATGTCTATCTGTGGAGCATGGATGTCCAGGTTATTGGTACCAAAAGTAAGACTGCTCAACTTAGAATTAATAGTTCTTAAAGTCACTGGTTTTGGTGACCCAAATGCAAAACAAAAAAACTAACAGAAAAAAAACAGAAGCCTTCTGCAACAGAGATCAGCAGTTTCAAAGGGCAGTATGCTAGAAAGTGACATGGAGGAGAGCAAAACACAACAGAAACAACAGTTGTTGCCAGGAGACATTTAAATTTCATTTTTACAAAATATATATGTTTATAGTTGTAGAAAGTATTGTATGAAAAGAAACATGCAACATTATTAAAGCAGCAATTATTAGTGTTATTTAAACCTAGACAGTCTGAAAAGACACCTAAGAAATGAGCATCAATAAAAGGTTTTGAGCAACAGGAAAACTATCCCTCAGAATACACTGTAGTAAAAAAATCACAGGCCAGGAGTTTGTAAGTGGATACATAAAAGGGGCTGTCGGCGTCCAACAAGAAGAACTGGGGCATGTGTAGTGCAGCCTACCACTCCTGCTGGCCAAAATGCACAATCAGCGATTGTGCAACAAACGTGTCTCTCTTCGCCATGCACAGCCCCCACTGTTGGTGAATGTACATGGGAAATAGTGAAATAAAACTCTGCCCCTTACAATTTTAAGAAAAACAAATTTTAGACCTTGGACAATCAACAGTTATCTGCAAGCTCAGAAATGAGATTACTATGCAGAGGCTGCGCAGGGCATACCTAATGGTGGTACCCAGGCACACAAAGTTTGGGAACCTCCTGGTATACTTTACATTGCTGAAGTATTTGCCAAATATCCGTAAATGAAGAGAGGATAAACAACTATCACACAAACGCTGAGCCATAAGCAGGACTTCTTTCTCTATGTCTTACTTCTTAAAATCAGGCTTTTCAATCAGGATTGGCATGATCCCCAACAAATTCTAGATATCAGTGAATTAACCCATTGACCTGCAAACTAACATTTAATGTAATTCAGTTTCTCTGAGTATTATTAGCATATGCTCTAACTGTGGAAAGTTTTATAGGTCCACAATATCCTTTAGTTCTTGCATTTTTTATTTGCTGCCTTGATTCTTAAAATACCCATTATAAGATCTTTAGTGTAATCATTCTAGGGCTGAGCTCTTTTGCACTATCTGCCTCGGTAAAATCAGATTTGTTAGCACAGACATAAACAGCAGGTTTAGATTATTTAACCAATTTTGAAGGATAGCTGGGTATCAGACCTCATGGACACTTCCATATATGTATTTCTGAAAGTTCAAGTATTATACAAGATCTGAACATCTGAACAACATACTACATACATGCTCACTGAAAAAGTAACTCAACATTGGCAAACATGCAAGCACAGCTATAGTATACACCATGGCTATATAATGTATATTATAATCCTGAAGTGGTGATTACCTGATGGCTATCATGCGTCAAATTCTTGCTATCAGGCATGCTACTGAAATGGTACAATGCACAACTTACCTTCGGAGTAGCCAAGATGTTGTGCTTTCTGCTTCCCAACTTTTAACATCTCTTTGTTAATGTCACAGACCACCACTTGGGAATCCCCTAGCGACTTAAATTTGTCTTCCTGGTAACTCTCAGAAATTTCCTGCCACGATAAATTCTGATGGTGCTTAAGCTTCCGCTGGAGCTGGCGTTCTCGTACAGAGCGAACATAATTAATAAATCGAAAAGCGATGTCACCTGCATTTGTTTTAAAAGAAAGATACATGTTTTGGAATGTTTTCTGACTCCAGGAAATTGGAACATAAGGATTTGAACATCAAACGGACTTAATTTTAATTTTTTATATATATATATATAAAAATAAAAAC